TTTTTTTTTTTTTTTTATTAGCTATCGGTATAAATCATTATAGCTCAACAATTACAATTTTATTAATAAATTTATATTGTGATGTTTATATACATATGTACTATAATATATAACATATAATACTAACATATAATAATAATTGTATTTTAACCTGGAAATTTCACGTACCTACCTAGCTTATCGTTTAAATTATCGACAAGATTAGTGTGGGATTATTATTTATTAGATTTTGTTATATCGTTCCTATAGTAGTATTAGTATACTACATTACTATCTTTATTTAGTGTCCGGTTTTCAAACTCCGACAAATTACAGTTATTGTTACGTATAAATCTATCATATGTCTTCATCGTCGTCAAGCGTCAACGTCTTTCGGTTTCCGTGTTAACGACTTAACGTAGTGAAGTGCAGTTTATAAATTTATTAAAAATTAATTATAAATGGAAGTAACGAGATCGAACAAAGGTGGTTTAAAAGCCATATTTGAAGGGCACATGTATACTGTAAAATATATAGGTATCAAAAACATGTCATGGCGCTGCGTGAAATCAAATTTATTGAAATGTCCAGGAATATTAAAATCTGAATTGGACTATTCTGAACCACACGTCATCACACTTCATCTGATCACATGTGCCAAAAACACAGGGAAAATTAATGTCACAAAATGTGTGAATGAAATGCTCCAACTTGCAAAACAACACGAAAAAAAGCCAGGACAAATTTTTTCAGAAGTGGTAGCAAAAGTGGACCGTGACACAAAAGCTCTGATGCCAGCCGAAGAAACCGTAAAAAGACGATTAAGGAGACAAAAATTTTTAGAAAATAGTGTAGGTATAGTGATTTTTTAGATAAAATTATTTTGCGATATTATTACTATACCGTAATAATAACGTAATTTATATATTATATAATACATTTATACTTATATTATTATTATATATTATATTTTTATAATTAAATAATTTGGTATTTGAACTTTTTGATTAGTAAGTACTTAAAGTTTAATCTACTTATTCACGGAAAAACTGATACATTTGGATATTTTGTCCATGGATATTTTGACCGTTAGATATTTTGTCCTTGGATATTTTGGTTTGGATATTTTATCCGTGGATATTTTGTCCTTGGATATTTTGTCCTAGAATCATTAGTGTATTATTATGATTATGAATTTACGAATTACGATATCCTAGCTGATGCCCTCGAAAAACAAAATACGTAGGTAGTTATTTTGCCATCGCTCAGTTATATTAACAATTTATACTTCATATAATTATCATATATATTGAACATAGTTCTAATAAGAACATTAGGCATATTATTATAATCTTATATAAATGTATCAACCCCCCCCCCTACACATGCCAAATTACGCCACAGAACCCCGAGCTTGTAACAATTTCCAAATTGAACATTTTAAAATTTTTATTTTAGTTACCTAATTTTAACTTAGTTAATTAGTTTTATCCATTAATTTTTAACTTGAAGAAGTTATAAAAAATATATAAGTTAATTTTTAACTTAATTTACTTCTTCTTATATTAACTTAACTAACGAGTTAAAAAAAATCGTTAACTTGCTCAGCCTTATTAAGATAGATACTATGAGTTAAGATTCATATATTATGTGTTGTCTTACAAATGAACAACATGAGCTATTTGTGTTCGGCAAATAAAATGTTGTGTAATATCTTTTTTTCTTATTAGAAATAAGTTTCGGCAGCGATGGCCATTGGCTGACATTTGACATAATTTTTTTTTTTAAATATAATATTTTTTTTACTTATATATTAATTGTTTACAATAAATTTTCAATTTATTTTCCTTTAATGAAGTTTAGAAATTTGACGAGGATATGCTTAATTGTTAGATGATGGATTCCACATGTTGTGTACTTGGCTTTTTCTACTCTTTCATTTCCTTCTATGTTACTGTGTCCTGGTATCCAAACAATAGTTATTTCATATTCATTGCTGTTTATTTTATACATAAATTCTATATGTGATATGAAAATTGATGGTCAAATAGTAACATACGCAGATGACACGTGCCTACTGTTTTCAGGTGATACGTGGGATGAAGTTCGCGTAAAAGCTATACTAGATTTTAAAAAAGTAATAAACTACTTAAATCACAGAAAACTAACAATCAATTACAATAAAACAAATTTTATAAATTTTTCCATTAATAAGGATGATAAAAGTTTTGATAACTTAGAATTTAATATTTATGATAATTTGGATTCTTGTAATGTTCCAATATATCAAAAAATAGCTAGAGTTTCGAGTATTAGGTATTTAGGTTTGACATTTGATAAAAATATGAAATGGAACTTACATGTAAACAATATTGTGATGCGTATGCGTCTATTATCGTTTAGCTTTTATAAAATACGGTCATTTTTACCAATACAAACTATGCGCATAATTTATCTAGCACTATTTCAGGCAATTTTTCAATATGGTTTATTGGTCTGGGGGGGTCTGAATCAAAATGCGTCTAGACCACTGCAACTTCTACAAAAAAAAATTGTTAGAATATGTTTAAGTAGAAATACGTTAATTGGTTCAACTAAAGAAAATTTTAACTTATTAGATGTATTACCATTTGAGTCTGTATATAAAAAAA